ATAAGAAATTTTAAGCCCGGGTTGGTGACACACCCACCTAAATCCCGGCATGCAGGAGGCTGAGGCAGCAGGATCACCTTGAGTTTGAGGGTAGCCTAAACTACATGGAGAAACCCCGTCTCAAAGAACCAAAAATAAAATAAAATAAAAAGGCATACAAACTCCCAGCAGGAGCTTCTCCCTACCCCTCTGCATCAGTACACCCCAAACTAGCCACTGTTGTGACTTCTCTCACCCTGAATTAGTTGTGCCTGTCTGGAGATGTTTCTATTTGACAGGGCCCATGACTAATACTGAAGAGACTGTGTCTGCTAAGCGGTGTCAGTCTGAATTCTCTTCAGAACTGAACAAGTCAGCGCCTGTTTCTTGTTCCCATTTTACAGATGAGGAAACAGGCTCAGGGAGGGCCCATGACTTGCCCGGGTATTCAGGGCCGGCCGACTATGAAGTCCTGGCCCTTCTTGTCTCCCCTGGGCCATCTGGAAGATGTGGCACATCCAGTGTGAGAGTGAAAGGGACAGAGCCTGCCACTCAGAGGTGCTTTGGCGCTTGGCTTATTTTCCAGAACTTGGTTCCTCTGAGTCTGGATGAGGCCTCCCAGGGCACTGGCACCCTGGCCCCTGCGGTGCTGAGGAGACACAGCAGGGCCCAGGAGCAGGCTGGCTTCCCAGATGTGTTTGCTGTGTGACTTTGGACAAGTTGCCTCTGTGAAGCTGTGTCCTCAGCTGTTAAAAGAAAATTAAAATCCCTGTACATAGTTAAGGCTGTAAAATTGGGAGATGTCACTGTATAAATTACTCCTGTTATATTTTAAGCCTTTTTATGGGAAAATTATACCCAAATATAGAAATCACATAAAACAAACATGGTCCCTAGGGGGCTATTATGAGGTGAACCCTTTGTACCCAGGAGCCAGAACAAGAACTGGGAGCCCCTCCAGTGGCCCAGCCCAGCCCAGCCTGGTTTTTACAGCATGTCTTTGTGTTTCTTTCCAGTTTTATGGCTCAAGTGCACGTCTCTAGACAGTAGTGGGTGCTCTTGTCTGTATAAAAGACCTTGGGCTTTTTGATTTCTAATGGCTGCCCCTGTATCCCTTCTGTTTCCTGACAGTTTTATCTTTTGCAGGGCATTTGACCTGAAGAGTTTTGCAGAGTCTCAACCCTCATGTGATTTTCTACCCGTTCATTCCCCTCTCCAGCTCCCTCCCTCCTCCTGCTTGGATTCTGAGTATCATAGATTTGGGTGGCAGTCTCAAGTCTGCTACTTCCTGGTGATCTTAGACAAATGATTTAACCTCTCTGGACATCTTTCCTCACCTGGCAAATGACAAAGTGACCCAGGTGATCTCTGAGGACCTTCTAGTTTACTCAGTCTCCCCTTTCAAGCACCGGGTTCCTGCTCCACAGTGTGCCCCCCCCCCTCCTTTTGAGACAGGGTCTTGCTATGTAGTTCAGAGTGGTCTTGAACTCACTACGTAGCCCAGGCTGGCCTCGAAAACTCACAGCGATCCTCCCATCTCAGCCTCTGAGTGCTGGAATTATAGACATGTGCCCTGCTCCAGAATAGGCTTTTCTTTACTGAAGGAAAAGAACTCTGGGTACAAGTCAGAGAGGTCTGGCGTGGAATCCAGTTTCCACTGGATTTAGCTCTATGAACTTGGCAAATTGCTTAACCCCTCAGCTTCCACTTTCACATCGGTAGAATGAGGATCCTGGTACCTAATGCATGAAATTGGGATGAGGCAGGCTGCAATGAGATCGTGCGTGTAAAGCATGTAGAGCCTGGCATCTCATATGTGCTACATAGAAGTTGATTCTTACTGTTGTTCTTATTTTCATTAGCTAGGATTGTTTTGTTTTGTTTTGGTACCGGGCATCAAACTCGGGACCTTGCGCTTGTGAGGCAGGCTCTGGAACCACTGAGCTAAATACTGGCTCTAGCTAGGATTATTGATTGGCTGCTCGCTCTGTGCCAAACACTGTGTCAAGCACTGTGTCAAGTGTTTTAAAATGTCTTGACTCTTGTCAAGCATGGCGGCACACACCTATAATCCCACAGCTTGGGAGGCTGAGGCAGGATTGCCAGAGTTCAAGGCCAGCTTGGGCTATATAGTGAATTCGAAGCCAGTCGGAACTACAAAGCAAGACCTTGTCTCAAAAAACCAAAAAAGAGCCCAGGGATTTAGCTCAGTGGTTCTGCCCTCTGCCCCCTGCCTCACAAGAGCAAGGTCCCCGGTATGGGGGGAGGGGAGATGACCATGGAAGGTGAATGTTTTGAATTGATTCAGGACATGGAGGCAGCCACAACAGCAGGACTAAGGATGCTCACAAAAGAGGATTTGCAGAGCTGCTTCAGAAAGGAGCAAGAATGATGGGATAAGTGTATTTGAAGCGAGGTGGAATATTTTCAGGGGGATTAATGGCAATGTGTCTTTTACTGTAACAACTTTTTTTTTTGGAAAGAGGATCTCCCTATGTAGTCCAGGTTGGCCTTGGACTCACTATATAGCCCAAGCTGGCCTTGAACTCACAGCAATCCTCCTGCTTCAGCCTCCCAAATGCTGGGATTACAGGTGTGCACCACTATGCCTGACTACTGTAGTAAATTTTTAAAATTTAAGCATTTCGTTTTGTTTTGTTTTGAGACAAGGTCTCACTATGTAGTTCAGGCTGACCTTGAACTCACTGTGTAGCCCAGGCTGGCCTTGAAGTCTCAGCAATCCTTCTGCCTCAGCCTCCCGAGTGCTGGGATCACAGGTGTTTGCCACCATGTGCAACTTATTTAAGCATTTTTAAGTTAACTATTCCACCATATTTTTTAATCACATTACATTAAATGTATGTGGGGGTGCATGTACTGCAGATGTGGGTGTATCTACTTATGTTCAGGGACTCCAGTTACCACCCAGACCAGCTCTGCACCCTAGGTCAAACTACTAGGGCTCATGAGGGCCTTGGAGTCTTCATCTATATGAGGGTGCTTTCCGACCTCAAAGGCAGCTGTGAGGACGAATCATGGATGTGAGGTTCTGAGCCAACGCTCTGCAGTTACTGGGGAAGGGTTTGTGATAGGCATTTTAAGAGAGGTGGGGATAACTTGACCCTCTTGGGTCCCTGAGGGCCAGGACTGTCTGTATCTGCCTCCCTGGGGCTGCAGAGCTCGCCCTGGTGTGCCAAGGACCCAAGCCTACTGTGGTCAGCAGAGCTGTGGTCATTTTCTCCAGCGGGGCATCCAAGGGCCTGGGGGTGGTCTGAAAACTGCTCAGGACACCCAGCACCCTGCAGGTAGACATGAGGCTGGACTGGCCAATCTTTCTTGTCTTTCTGGCATGGTGGGAAAGCCTTCTGGAGCCCAGGGGCTGCTCTGTCCCCTGCCTGCACCTTGCACCCAGCAGTCCGAAGCAGGCTGAGGACACAGCCGCAGGGGAAAGGTGTGTGCTTTGGCCAGCCGCACTGTCTGATCCAGAAGCAGAGGCTGGGTAGCTGCCTAGGGTGGAAATTCCGTATAACTGAGATGGACCTGGCTGAAGGGGCCTGGTCTCAGCCCATAGCCCTGCCTCGCCAGGTGGGCTGGAACCTGGCTTGCCACGGGGTTCAGCCTAGGGATTCCCAGAGGTCCCTGGAAGAGGAGGATGGGGATGGCAAATGCTTCCTTGTTTTTATACAATGCTTTTTTTGTAAGTGTGCCTCTCCTGTTGTAAAAAAGGAATGTTTGTTATTTGTGGGGAGTACAAATAATTAAAGAGGAGAGGACCTGGAGATGTAGCTCAGTGGCAGAGCACTTGCCTAGCATGTGGGAGGCCCTGGGCTCCATCCCCAGACCACAAAAAAGGGGAGTGGGTGGGGATTAATCTTTAAACCTATAATTTCAACGGCTCTGAAACCAATGGGGCTTTAGTCTCTCTCTCTCTCACACACACACACACACACACACACACACCTGTAGTCTCATAATGTACCTGGACACACATATGTAACACATATGCACTCACATGCATGTGAGCATATAGCACACACACAGTGCACAGATACAGACACAATCACACAGGTCCACATGGGTGCACACAGAGGCACGCACAGAGGACACGCTGTGTGCCAGCTGCTGCTCTTAACTCCACCAATGCTAATTCACTTAATCTCACAACAAAGGGAGGAGGTTGGCACCATTATTTCTTCCATTTTTCAGTAGCCATTGCTCCAGAATGCACAGTCAGAAAGTGGAATAAACAGGATTTGAGTCCAGATCCTTGGGCTTTGTGACTGTGGCTTGAGGCGCTGTGTTTGAGTAGTATTGTAATGAATGTCCTAGACTTTCCTCCTGTTCGTCTATATTTGGTATGGTTATGAGCATAGCATCCTGTTTCCACACTAACAAGCCCCTGGACACAGATTTGGATTTAAATTCTGGCTCCATTCACTCTGGGTTCGTTCTTTCACCCCTCTGGGGCTCCATTGGTTTGTCTGTAAAATGGGGGGTTACAGTACCTGCTCTAAGGACTGGCTGAGCTTGTGTGTGCACAGCTGTCAGCCCTGGACCCAGCACATAGTAGGTGCTCTTTAGCTGGGGCTCTGAGGCTGGAGGGCTTTGAAGGGATAACAGGCGGCAAATACTCTTCTTAGCTGGGTGTGGTGGCCCATGCCAGTAATCCCAGCAGTCAGGAGGTTGAGGCAGGAGGATTGTGAGTTCAAGGACAGCCTGAACTACATAGTAAGAACTTGTCTCAAAAAAAGGAAAAGGATATAAGAAAACACTCTCTGGTTGCCAGTTGGCCTTAATAAGTCAGGTCCAGAAGGCAAGGAAAATCTCCAGATCTGTGTCTCCCCATGGGGTAGGTCTTTCCTCCTGGGTTTCCTGCCCTAAACAGCAGCTTAGCCCCAGCCCTGCATATAAGTGGCAGCTGGAACAGCAGGGATGAGGGAGGGGGAGAGAAATCCCATAAATCAGCAGGCGGAATGTCCCTTCCAGTCCAAGTTTGGCTCTGCTGGAAGGGGAGGGGGCTTTGGGGTTGGGGATGTCAGATGTCATCAGCTCCTGGGGGGCTGATAAAGTCACCACGCAGCCAGGCAGCCAGGGTGTCTGCAGAGGTCCCCTACCTCTTGCCACCTCCTGCCGCCCGACAGTGCTGCACGAGCTGGGTACGAACCCCCAGGGAGCCTGCTGCCTGCTCTCCCAGGCCTCTCTCTGCCTGTGTTCTTCCTCCTCCTCTCTTCTGTTTTCTCCTCTGTCTCTGTCTGCTTCACTCTCTCCCTCCCCTCCCATGCTGTCTTTATATTTTCCCCCCATCGTCCATTCTTCCCCCTCTTTTCCTACTTCTCTTTCATTCTTTTCTCTGTGTCTCTTTTTCTGTCAACCTTGGGTTACTCCCATTACCTTTTTCTGATTTTCAGTGTCCTCTTCTTTGCCTCTGTCATCCTCAGCCACCTGGTTTTGTGTCTCACTCTCGATCCTGAAGTTGCAGGCCTCAGGACCAGAGGGCCCGGGATATGCTGTGGGCGTCCACTGTACCCCTGGGGCAGGCCGGGAAGAGCATGTCTTGCTGGCCATCCTCCTGGCGGGTGGGACAGGGCCCTGGCTTTGAAGTTGTGGCAGCATCTCACCCCGGGGCCTGGGCTGGATCAGCCACTGTCTGGGCATTTCTTCTCACTGCCCAACCCACTGAGTCCACTGGGTGGGGAGGAAGGAGTACTGGTACCCAGACCACGGCTGGGTCAGGAGCTTTGCCAAGTTCCCGGGAGCATCCTCGGGGCTGGCATTGCCAGAGGAGGACACTCAGGGCTTGGTGCTCTCACGTTCGCCCCTTCCAGGCTGCCGGCTCCGACTGTACCGGGAAGACTGTGACTCCCAGCCAGTTATGCCCCTGCTGCTCAGTACCGTGGGCCTGGCAGGCCTGCTCCTCTGGGCAGGTCAGACAGTGGATGCCTTGATAATGCCCAATGCTACCTTAGCCCTGGCCCAGCCAGGGAGAACAGCTGTGCGACCCCTGAGTGCCTTAGGGGTGCCCCATTACCTCAGGAAGCGGCACATCTCTGCCTGGGACATGAACGCCATATTGGATTATCACAATTACATTCGGGCCACCGTGTATCCACCTGCTGCCAACATGGAGTACATGGTAAGTCCCCATGCCCATCCCAGTGCCCCTTCCAGCTAATGCCAGCCCACTCATTGTGGGCTGGAGTGACTGGTGTGGAAGAGCTTGTCCATCCGCCAGGCTGGCCCCACTAGCCAGTCTCTCAGTTTGTGGGACCTGTGCAGCGGGCAGGAATTTGTATGCCCATTTCCCAGGCTAGGAAACTGAGACAATTGCACAGATTCCCCAGTGAATCTGGGCATAAGCATACTATTTATGGAGCACTTTTGGTGCCAGGGACTACACATCACTCTTTTCCTTCAAGAGGATATTTCATCTCCATTTTCCAAATTTAAAAATTGAGCCCAGTTGGGGCTGGGGATTTAGCTCAGTGGTTTCTCCGCCTGCTGCACAAGCACAAGGACCCGAGTTCAATCCCCGGTACCAAAATAAAAAAAAGCTTCTGCACTGCAAAAATTGAGCTCAGAGAATCAATTTGTCCAAGGCCACCCAGCCAGGATTCCAGGTCTGCCCACAGGGAAAGTTTTGGCTTTAACCAACACAGCACCTGGCCCAAGAATTTTGTCTCCAACTGAGGAGCTGCAGGGGTGAATGGCTGGAGTTTTCGATGTTATCATCTCTTGGCCCAGGGGTTTAGTGGACACACCCACTCGCCATTCATTTCCCCAGAGCTGCCAGGCAGGTTTGGAGCAGGGCAGGCACCAGGGCTCTCAGACTGAGGTCAGACGCAGCTGAACAGCAGAAAAGGCCAGGATGTCGGCCTTCAAAGCGGCAGGGCCGATGTCTCTCACCCTGGCCACCTGGAAGCCAGACCCCTGGTGAGGAAGAGGGAATCTTGCTCTTTATCACTGCTCCTCCCGTTTTGAGACAATAGTCCCAAACCAGCCTGGAGAGATAGGCTTCCAGCTCACAGGATTTCTTTGAAGAATGAGATTTCCATTCCTCCCCCTCCGGGATAGTACATGCTACTCAACAGTTACAAGGGATCTCTAGTGTCATTTAGGTCCTGCTCAGAGCCCTGCACCAGGGCTACTGCCAAGTATACCAGGCCATGTCCTTCCCCAAGGGGTGTTCATTTGAGGATGACAGAAAATAGTAAAAACTGGGGGACCGTGTGTGTGTGTGTGTGTGTGTGTGTGTGTGTGTGTGTGTGTGTCTTTAAAATATAATGCTAGGTGGTAATAGTTGGGGAAGAGTGGAGATAGGAGCCAGGATGGTGGACAGCTACAGAGGTGGGAGAGCCATTTATTTGTTCATTGACTGACTCATTTATTAACACAAGGACTGGCACATAGAAGGCCCCTCATTTTTCAAACAAATGACACATTTACTGAGCACCACTGGTGTATGTGCAACCCTCACCCCAAACAGTATTTAGCAATTGCATGTGGCATGGGACAGACAGGAAGCTGTCTCCCCAGGGCTCAGGGAGGCCAAATGGTTTCTTTAGAAGGCCCCTTCCCTCAGTTTACCCCCTAGTTCTGCTCTCTTTAAAAGCCTGGGAGTCAGACGAGCCTGGGGGATGTTTGGGCCCTTCTCAGCACCCCTTTTCTTCCTCACTAGCTGACCCCTGCCCACAGAACAGGCGTCTGACTAAGCACCCCTCACCTCCGAGAAAGCCTAGGTCCAGTTCCCTGATACATGGCTCGAGAAGGCAATGACTCATGGCTTGTTTGCCATCTCATCACCCAGAAATATGGTTCAATATTTGCAGAATGAACAAACAATATCTTAGAGGATCCCAGCATTGGAAGTGAGCTAGTATATATTTTTTTTAGTGAACAGTTTTTTCAGCTATGAAGCTTGGGGAATTCATACACCGGACAATTATAAAACCATGAAGGATGAGGAACATATTTTACAGGCGCTGATGCAGGATAATCAGTGAGATAGCCTATCTTGTTGAGTGGGGAGAGTAAGGTCAGAACAGAGCTTCAGGCATGCTGTCACCCATCAGAATGTCGGTGTCCCTAAATGTGAGCATGTGCACATGTAGATACTTCTGCAAGTGAATGAAAGAAGCGTGGTGATTGTCCCTGGGGAAGGGTACAGAGTAGCAGTAGGGACAGCACTAGGGAGAGATGAGAGACTGTCCACTTGTCCTCCCTGGGATAGCCTACATATTGAGTTGGTGTGTTTTCATTTTGAAAAGAAAATTTTTTTGAGACAGTCTCATTATGTAGTTCAGGCTGGCTTTGAACTCACTATGTAGCCCAGGCTGGCCCTGAACTCTCGGTGATCCTCCTGCCTCCGCCTCCTGAGGGCTGGGATCACAGGTGTGCACCACCACGCCTGGCACAATTAAAATGTTTGATGCTGACATAAACCCATTTTGAAAGTACAATATATAAAAATTTTAAATCAGTCATTTGCACATCACCCTGGGCTAAGTCACTTCTAGGGACTGCTGAGAGCTCTTGGACAAACACCTGGGACCCCACTCAGAGCCAAAGGCCTCCAGCATGAGGTCCAGAGAGGGAAAAGGGGTGTGGAGGTTCAGTTCTGGGGTGTACTTGTGCTTGACCTTGAAGGCACAGGTCCTGTGTGAGCCCCATTTTCTAACCTGTCAGTGAGCTTGCTGAAGAGTCCAGAAGGGCACCAGGCACAAGTGTGTCTCTTCCTCCTCCCAGTAAGTTCATGCCTTTCTTTCTCCAGGTCTGGGATGAGCGGCTGGCCAAGTCCGCTAACGCCTGGGCCACCCAATGCATCTGGGACCATGGACCCTCACACCTGATGAAATTCTTGGGCCAGAACCTCTCTGTCTATTCTGGCCGGTGAGTAGAACTTGGCCCTTCCTTCACTCAGTCATTCAACAAACACACCTTGAGCACCACTGTGAACCAGGTGCTGTGTTTGGCAGTGAAATACAATGGTGAACAGGGTGGGCAAGCTCCCCGTCCATGGGGGCCTATCCTAGTTAGGAGAGACAAATGACAACAGGACGAACAAACACATGCCCAGGCTGTTTGGGGAGTGGGGGCGACGTGAAGACTCATATGCAGGATGGGCGGGAGCAGTGGGGAGCAGAGCTGGGAGCAGAGGCTGGTGGATGGGCACGTCGAGCCCAAGGATGCTCACCCTGAGGCCGAGAATGGTGAGGCCGCCCTTCCGGCCAGATCGTCTCGCTCCATTCCCACTCTGGAGTCAGGACGTGGGGCCATCTGAGTTTGATGTGTGGCCTGGGGAAGTGCGTTCCGTGTACTGGACCTTCGTGTCCCGGTCCATAGAACTGGGAATTGGCCTAGCTCAGATCTTTCCAGACTTGTGGATTTCATAGGCCAGTAAAATTTCCAAAAGGCATTTACAGGACAGCCACACCACTGACATATTTTTATTTCGGCAAATAAGGACATGAGAACAACACCCTCCTTCCCCTCCCTGCTGCCTTGCCTTGACCTCAAGGACAGGATGGAGGCTGGGGGGGGGGGGGGACGACACCCAGGCCCCAGGGCGCTTTCAGGGTGGAGCCGTGAATGCTCCTCCCATGCACTCAGCTGTAGGTCCTGTGTCCTCTCCTGGCCAGGCCAGAGGCACCCCTGGGAGGCTCACAGTGAAAGCGAAACGATGTCAGGATCGAAGATGAGAACCATGAGTTGTAAATCACCACTGTGAGTTCTCTCAGATTTCACCCTTTATTGGACCTTTTGAATATTTGTGTCTCTGTCAAATGTGGCTGATTGAAAAAACCCTCAGGAGCCAGGGATTTAGCTCAGTGGTACCACACCTGCCTCAAAAGCACAAGGTCCTGAGTTCGATCCCTCTACCAAAAAAAAAAAGAAAAAAAGAAAGAAAGAAAAGAAAAAAACCCCTCAGGTCCAGGCAGCTGGCTCTTTGGCCTGCAGAGAGTTTCTGGGTGGACACCCCAAGTGTCCGCCCTCCCCCATCTCCCATGGCAGAGGCCTCAGAGACGGTCCAAAGAGCTCACCTGCCTGAGGTGGCCCCCTCGTGCTATGACAGGCACACATGCTCTACTGCACACTTACGTCGTGCCAGGCAGGGGCACGCTCTCCGCATGGTGCTCTCCTGGCCTTCAGAACATACCTGTGAGGTGAGCGCTGCTGTCCTCACCCTCCATTCATAGATGAGGAATCCCAGGGAGGGGAAGTGAAGTAATTCACCCCAGGTCACTGAGCAAGTTGGTGGCGGAGCTACTTTTCTACTTTTCCCCAGCTTCTTCCATGTTCCTGACTTCCCCAGGTTCAGCTCCATAGTGGATCTTGTGAAGCTTTGGTCTGACGAGAAGCAGTATTACTTGTTCCCGGTCCCAAGCGAATGCACCCCGCACTGTCCCTGGCACTGCAATGGCCCCATCTGCTCCCACTACACCCAGGTACTCCTCTGCCAGGGCTTGGGGGCATGCGGAACAATCCCTGGCACCTCCGAAGGAAGGAATGTAGCCAGGCATGGTGGTGCACACCCGAAATCCCAGCACTCAGGAGGCTAAGGCAGGGGGATTGGGCATTTAAAGCCAGCCTGGGCACCTTAGTGAGGCTCCGTCTCAAAACAAACAAAAAAGCAACAATCACTACAACAAAAACCACATTGAAACCAAGAAGAAGGAAGTGGAACAGAAATGAGAATTAAAGTAGAGGCCCTATGGGCTTCCTGTTGTGTAAGAAGCATATTCCTGGAAAGGTGTGTGCACGTTGAACTGAGGTGAATCTTATCTTATTTTGTTGGATATTTTCTGCTCTCTAAGGCTTCCACTACCTTAGAAAAGAGAAATGCCAGCCAGGTGTGGTGGCATATGCCCATGATCCCAGCACTCGGGAGGCTGAAGCAGGAGGATCACCGAGAGTTCAGGGCCAACCTGGGCTATATAGTGAGTTCAAGGCCACCCTGAACTAGAGTGAGACCCTGCCTCAAAAAAAAAAGGAATGCCAAAATAAGATTTTATAACATTACAAAAATTGTAATATATTTTGAATGCTAGTGTTGAGTATGTTAATACTTACTGAGCAAAAATTATGATGCAATCTACTACTGCGAGCAATAGGACACAAACTTCCCATTGTATGACGAATGTCATCTTTTAGCCAAATCTGCCTCTCCATGACTCATTTGGTGACAATGTCAAAAATCTACATTTGGGATCCTCTACAAAATGTGACACCTAAACCAAATATCCTTCCTAATTTCCCACGAGACATTATTACCTCCATTTTACTAGTGAAGGCACAGGTCCCATAAGAAACAAAGTCACACAGCAGGAGACACTGAGATCCTGGTTCAAGTCTGACTCCAAAGTTTGCTGTGCTACAACAAAATTTTGGAAGGCTGGTCATTAAGAAAAAGAAAAAAAAAGGGCCGGGGGTTTAGCTCAGGGTTCGGGGGTTTAGCTTAGTGGTTCCAGCGCCTGCCTTGCAAGTGCAAGGTCCCAAGTTCGATCCCCACTACCAAAACAAAAAACAAAACAAAAAACCCCCACATAGAACAGTATAGAAAATATTAACTTGTATCACCCATAGTGTGGCTAAATATTGCTTCATAAAACTTTTGTTTTGTTTTGTTTTTTGAGACAGGGTCTCACTTTGAAGTCCAGGCTAGCCTTGAACTCACAGTGATCCTCCTGCTTTAGCTTTTTGAGGACTCACAGCAATCCTCTTGCCTCAGCTTCCTGAGGGCTGGGATTACAGGCATGTACCACCATGCCCAGCTTGGTTCATAAAACTTTTTTGTGTGTGGTTCTGGAAATGAAACCCAGGGCCTCACACATGCTAAGCACATGCTCTACCACTGAGCAGCATCCTCCAGCCCCAGTTTATAAAACTTCTGTTTCAGTTGTGTACGTGCATGTATGTGTGCATGTGTGCACTGGGCAACAATATGAAATGTATTTATTCCTTGTCGCCTGCAGTGGAGAAAAAAAAGCTTAATAAACACTGTATCACAACATAAATGACTCTAGCTCAGACAGACTGCTGCCCCCCAAGACCTTACCTACCCCACCCTCCTGGAACCCATCCCAGGGGCCACTGACCCCAGGGGCCCCTCTGCCTGCCCCTTCTCAGCCCACCCTGTGTCTGTGCCTCCTCAGATGGTGTGGGCCTCCTCCAACCGGGTGGGCTGTGCTGTCCACACCTGCGGCAGCATCAACGTGTGGGGAAAGACCTTGTACCAGGCCGTGTACCTGGTCTGCAACTATGCCATGAAGTAAGTGCCCTGCCAGGGCAGAGGGGGCTGGGGCAGGAGGGGGATCTTTCGAATTCAGGGAAAGAAAGATAAGAACAACATCCCTCCTTCCTCCTGCTGAGTAATCTCCTGTTAGAGGAGTTGGGTAATTTTAGGGAGTCAATTAGTAGTCTTTTTCCTTTACCCAATTCAGAGTCAATTGGGAGAAAGAGGACAGAGGAAGGCAGGAAGGTGGCATCACTGAGGAAGTGGAGCGCACAGAATGTAGTTTAGCTGGGCGCCTCCAGCTGAGAGGGCTTGCAAATGCCTCACAACTGAATTAAACCTGGGCACCGGTGCCAGGCAGTGTTAGACAAACAAGCCTCTACTCATAAGCGCAGGGCCAGTCCCAAGAAATAGATAACCAAGCTGGGTGTGGTGGCACACACCTGTAATCCCAGCACTCTGGGAGGCTGAGGCAGGAGAATCACAAACCCAGCCTGGGCAATTCAGTGATTTAGTGAAACTGTCTCATAAAAATAAAAAGAAGGGTTGGGATGTAACTCAGTGAAAAGGTCCTGGGTTCAATGCCCCACTATGGATAAAATCAATCAATCATTCAACCAAGAATACCTCGTTCCCATAGACAAGGAGATCCCAGACTGGAGGGAGAGACTGAGGACATGCAGCTCCTCCTCCCCAACTGCCCCGTCAGCTTGACGAGAGGGAGGTCCAGCACCATCTTACAAGTTTCTTGGAAACCTGGGGGAGAGGAGTATGGCAGTTCCAGTCCGGTGCAGTCTACAAATTTGTGAACATTACAGATTCACATAAAAATAAGAACAATTTCTAAGTCAGCATGAAGTTTAGAATTTCAAAGTCAACAATAATGACCACATTTTACTCTCACATAGCTCTTGATCATTTACAAAATACTTTCACCTTATTACCTCTGAAGAAATGAAAGAAGTAAAGAAAAAGGGAAAGAGACAGGCGTGGTGGTGCATGCCTGTAATCCCGTCACTTGGGAGGCTGAGGTAGGAGGATGGCCCGAATTCAAGGCCAGTTTAGGCTACATAGTGAGTTCAAAACCAACCTAGACTACATAGCAAGACCCTGTCTCAAAAAAACCAAACAAGAAATGTGATTTCTACTTAACTTCTTGATGTTTGTTTCTTTTATTTGCAAAATGGGAGTGAAATAGTACTCATGGGACTGTTGAGCGAGGTCACCCCCACAATGTCTGACAATGTCCCTGGGCTCGTAATAAATAGGGAGCATTTATTGGTTCTTATTGTTATGAGCAGACATAGCTCTGTGCTCTACCTCTACCACATGCACACTAAGGGCTCTGAGAAAATCATTCTGCCTTTACAAGCCCAGTCTCCTCTGCTAGGGTTAATACTACCCGCTCAAACCATTAAGATATGGTAATGTTACCAAAAAAAGATATGGTAATGTGCGTGGGGAGTATCTCACGGAGTATCTCACCCGTAGTTCGAGTGTGCTAAATGAGTGGAGGCCATGAACGCTCAAGGATGAAAATAGACCTTATTCATTTCTTTCTTTTTTTTTTTTTACCTTATTCATTTCTACCTCTTTCTATTGCAGTGATTTCAATGCTTTTCTTTTTTTTTAAGCAAAGGTGTTTTTTTCCAAGTGGTTAAACAAAACAAGAACCACCTCGATTTCACACCCACTCCTTCATTGTCCTCTCTCCCTGCTCCTAAACTTCTGAGAGCTCCTTTTGAACACTGTGGACCGATGGCATCTCGCACACATCCTGCATCCCTGCAAGCTGTGGCAGTGGTGGATGAATGAATGCATCATGTTAGAGAACCAGAAGTACACACTTTTCTGAGAATTTGGGCTGACTTTGCTCAAGGTTATTCAGTAATCACTTTTGTTTGGAGGGGAAAAGATTCCAGTTCGAATCTCAAGGAGTCAATATCTGTGGTGTGAGAAACAGGCTTTGAGACTTGTAAAGATGCCCATACTGCAGGCCAGTAGTAAGACTGAGGCAGGCTCAAGCAAAATCTGGGGGATGATTTTTAGGCCTTGAGGAAGAAGGACAGAGAATGAATCTGCATAGGGAGAGGTGGAGAAGCAAGGGGGGGAAGGTAAGATGTGTAAGTTGGACCCCTGCGGTACCAGGACAGGCTGAATGTCTGACCTAAAGCTGTTGATGGGGCTCTCTAAGCCAGTCTGCAAACTCTGCCCCATGGTCAACTGTGGTCTGTGGCCTGTTTTTTAATAAAGTTTTATTGAAATACAGCCACACCATTCCTTCACATGTTCTCTACAGCTGCTTTCATGTCATAGACACAATCGGGCCAGCAAAGTCTAAAATATTTACTATCTGGCCCTTTACATAAAAAGTTTGCAAACTGGGCATGGTGGAGCAGGCCTGTAATTCCAGCCCTCGGGGAGGCTAAGGGAGAAGGGTGGCAAATTTGAGCTCAGTCTGGGCAACTCAGCAACTTGGTGAGACCCTGACTCCAAATGTTAAAACATATATAAAGGACTGGAGATGTAGTTTGGTATAAAGGTCCTAAGTTCAATTCCCAGTACAACCTTAAAAAAAATATAATTCACATGCAATATGGTGGCACATGCCTATAATCCCAGCATTCAGGAAGCTGAGGCAGGAGGATCGCTACACAGTGAATTCAAGGCCACCCTGAACTACACAGCAAGAACCTGTCTCAAAAACAACAACAAAACTAGATATAATTCACATGCTACGCAACCCACCAGTGGGTTATATTACATTATTACTATTTTAAAATTATAATAAAATATGCCATTTTAACCACTTTAGGTATACACCTCTTAATTACAATCACAATGTTGTGCAACCATGGCCATCATTTCCAAAACTTTTTCATCAGCCCACAGAGAAACTCTGTAGCCATGAAACAATAACTCTCCATCCCTCCTTTCCCAAAAGGTGGGGGTCTTCTGGGGAGGATTGATTCCAGACCAGGTAGGTTGGTTTCAGATAAAGCCCTGAGGATGCTGATAGCAGCAGTGGCTATGAGGCCTGATGGGCTGGTCTGCACCATTGAAGTGTGGTCTCTTTTGCACAGCACACATAAATTACAAGATGTTTTAGGTCATTTCATATAATTTTCAGAGGTACTATTTTATTTATTTATTTATTTTTGGTACCGAGGATCAAAGGCAAGACCTTGTTCTTGCAAGGGAGACAGAGTGCCACTGAGTTAAATCCCCAACCCTCATTTATTTATTTCATTCAGAGGATAAAATCGATTTTCAAGAAACGGGGTGGCAGGTTGGGGACATAGTTCAGTGGTACAGTGCTTGCCTGGCATATGCAAGGCCTGGGTTCCATCCTGAGTACTGGGGAAAAGAGAAAAGAAAAAGGAAGGAAATGGCTTTGCTTGTCATGGGGATCAGAACTCAGGACCAGCATCTAGGATCAGAGCTCAGATCTGTGTCCTCCAGGGGAAATGGAGAACTGGGAAAAGGATTTTCCAGGTGCCGTACAGTACAGTGCCTAGCCATACTCGGCTTCGTCTCCAGTTCACTGTGTCCCTGTGAAGGGCGCGGAGCCTTCTGTTGCTTTTGCAGAGGAAGAAACCAAAGCTTACAGATGTGACCTGCCCAGGGTGACACAGCCAGTGGACCGCAGTGCTGAGATCTGGAAATAATCCTTTGCTGTCTCCTAACCCTGCTTCCCTGGGACCTTTTCTTTTCCAGGGGCAACTGGATGGGTGAGGCACCCTACAAGATGGGGGCCCCTTGCTCCGCCTGTCCACTCAGCTACGGAGGCAACTGCAAAAGCAACATGTGCTTCCCTGGGCTCAACTCCAACGGGCTCCAGTGGCTCTGAACCCTCCCAGCGCTCGGGGGCACCCCCAGCTGGGCTTGGGCCTCCAAGAATCCCTCCCCAGTGATAGATAGCATCAAGGAGTAAATGTTTTTCAGAGAGGAGTCAGCCTTACCGCACCGATGCAGTTTTCCCTCCTACATTCCCTTTTCTATATGTCCTGCGTGTGTCAGAAGGCAGGGACTTCCTTGCCTGCCCTCTTTCCTTAGTTACATCTTTCTTTTATGTGGCTCTGTTAGAAAGACCTGCATCTTTAATTAGTTTGATTCTCTGAGAGTCAGGCTACATGGATCAGTGCTGGCAGCTTGGTTTTGTGACTCTTAGCCTTCAAACCCAATTTTCCATCCAACGAAAGTCATCTGTTAAACAGTCTTTCCACCGAAATCCACCTTCACTCATCCATTGCCAGCCAACCCAGGCAGCCTTTGAGGGCTTGTGGTTCCCTCCCTGAATTGGACACTTTTCAGTGCCAAGGTTTTAGAAAACACTGAGGTCAGCTTGTGGCTACTCTGCTTCGACAAATATTGTGTGTTCCTGGACCAAACACAGGGTCCAGCCCATGAGACCATGGACCCTCGCATTTCCTTCAGGCCCCTGACACCTCTCCGAGCTGCAGGACTGAGAATCTAAAGCCAAAGTTGACCTGAGGGTGCTGTCTCTTTCTCCGCTTGTCCTGTGCAATTTCTGGATCACTCTGCCTTTTCCAGTGCCTTCCGGTCTACTCTGTCCCCCTGTCTGCTTCTACCTCAGTCTCCTAGTCCCTGATTCTCTCTTTTTCTCCCATACAATCTCCTCATTCCAATAAACCCTTTCCTCTCTCCTGGCCCCATCCCACCCAGAGATCATAACACACAAAAGTCCTTTTGTCTCCAGAGATAGTAAAATCTCCTCCCTCAGACCTTGCCCTCCAGCTGGGGCCCACTCCCTGCCTGGCAGGAGAGAGCTCCGATCAAAGATGAAAAACAGGCCATTTCTGCAGAGTCACCCCAGTCATCCTAAGCGAAGTGAGTTGTGTCCACTCCTGATCTCTCCCACTCCTTCAGGCTGTGACCTGTGCTCCCTGTCAACACCAATAAAGTCCTTCGAGATTGGACACAGTGACTCTTTCTGGTCCCTTCTTCTCTCAGCTCCCAGGAGGGTCAGAAGACAAGGGCAGAGGGTTGGGTGGGGAGGGGAGGGTAAACCATGTCACCTGAACAGCAGAGGGGGACTAACAGGCCGGCCCTGCTATGCAAAGGCTAGATTCCTGTGCGGGTGCATTTGCATGTTATTACTCCATGTTGCAGAAGAGAAAAATGGGGCTTGGGATGAGTACTAATTCCTAAAGTCTGGAAATAAACAAGGGGACCGAGGATACTGTTGCAAGTTCATTATTTGCAGATACCCTTCCTACGGGGGAGCAGGGGTCAGGGTCTTTCCTTTTATAAAACAATGGTGATAGCAAATGTTGGATTTTAAAAATTTATTAATTCCCTTATTTGGGGGGCCGAGGGCTTGCCAATTCTATGTCGATTTCCCCAAATGTTCTGGAAATATAAGTGATACCAAGCTCTCGGATGGAGTGGCCCTATAAAGTCACATGGATAGTAAGGAGGAGGCAGGAATTCGAATTCCCCTTCATCGTCCCCCAACACTTGTGCTGTTTCAGCCCCATGTTGGCCTTCGTATGTTCCGAGGGCCTGAGATAATGAGAATGACAACTGGCATCTTTAGCTGCTCAGTTAGTGTGGGAGCACTCCACACTCCTAATCTTTCTAAGCAGTACTTTAAGTGATAAGTACTGTTCTCACCCCCATTTTATAGATGTAAAAACTGAGGCTCAAGAACCTCCGTGTGAGGTGTGTTGTGGTGCACACTCCTGTAGACCCAGCACTCAGGAGGCTGAGGCAAGAGGATCACCTTGAGTTCAAGGCCAGCCTGAAGTACATGAGACTGTCCTGAAAAACAAACCAACAAACAGCCCTTAACTTCTCACTCTCCCACCTCTCAGTTAAGAAGAGAAGCACTTGGGGATTGTGCAAAGGGAGAGACAAGTCAGCAAAAAATGCCTTTGTAGGGTGGGAATGAATTCCAGGCTGGCCATTTCTGATACAGACTCTGAGAAGAGCTGCAGCCAAAGGGGCAAATAAGCAAGTTGTGCTTGTTTGTGCTGCCCTTGGACACTCAGAGTTGGAGGGGTGAGGATTTGGAACGAGGGGGTTAAAATTGGTACCTGCATTTGTGACACTGCTGTTCCAGGGAAAGGGGAACTTTCACTGCAAGAGCGCTGTTTCTTTTCTCTGTCAGTAACACTTGAGGGCCAAGGCTGTAGGGGGTAGCGTTTTTGCCTAGCATTTACAAGGCCCTGTGTTCCATCCCCAGCACCGCAAAAAGGCACAACAGCAGCAAACTCACTAACAATAACATTCAAACTCTGTAAGGTGTTCAACTTTTTGAAGACTTTCATACCTACACTCACTGGCTCGCTCAGTTTTAGGCTCCTGGCTTTCTCTGTGAGGAAGGGGAAGTTTTTATTTATTTATTTTTTTTTACTTTTTGGTACCTGGGATCAAACTCAGGACCTTGCATTTTCAAGGCTGGCGCCGTGCCACTCAGCTAAATCCCTGGCCCCAGGAAGGGGAAGTCTTATCCGACTGAGGATGAGAGAGGAAGAGGTTCAAGGAGAGAAAAGATTATGGGGTAGATGAGATTGGATAGAGACTAAGAGGACAAGGAGCAGGGAAACTGAGGGTGGCAGTTTTGGGCAGTTGGAAGCTGGTGAGCAGAAGTTTATGGTGGTCCCAGGAGTCCCTCTAAGTGATTGTTGTTTCTGTCTCATGCTGATTGGCTGCCTGGGTGCAGACATGAAGAAAGTAAAATACTTTGGTTCATCCCAGCTTGGGATTTTGTCAGCAAAGGAACCGAGAGAGAAGCAAGAAAGGGACTAAAAGCATGGACTGGGGGCTTTAAACTGGAGAGGAAGTAAATGGAGGTCAGGAAGAGGCCACAGGAGGGAGAACCAAGAGCAAAGGACTGGAAACTTGGAAACAGCCTGTGCCTGTCCATCACTCGGGACCAGAGGTGGTTGTGCAAGTGCCCTGGAAAAAGAGGGTGAGCAGAGAGGGATCTATCCAGTAACTGTTGTAGAGGTGGAACAACCCAGGAGGAGGGATTATATTATAAAGAAATGTACCGAACTCCACACCAAGAAAATGGCAGAGCTACGGCTGATTCCTCTGACTTCCAAATTTGTTCTACTGCTCTCATTTGAGCTCTCTTGAATGTGACGAGGACCTTGATTTCAGAATTCCCAAACGTGCTGTGAGATCCAACGCTCAGACAGGCTGGTACTGAAAAGGCAAGGTCACAGGTGTGTAAGATCCAAAAGAGAAAGCGCAGGTCTCTAATGCAGGTGTGCTGTGTCAGCCGGGTGGCACTGAGAATGGGGGAGGACCAGCAACCACAGGCCTGGAGTCTGACCTGTGCTGCTCCCTTGCTCACAGGACCCATCAGTTTGTAATAATAGCACTGTGTGTGTGTGTGTGTGTGTGTGTGCATGCGCGCGCACGGGCGTGATGCTAGGGATCCACCTCAGGTGCTGTGCATGCTAGTCAAGCACTCTACCACTGAGCTACATCCTCAGCCCCATAATAATAATATCTTTGATGATCTGATTAAGGTACATCTCTTTCGTTAGTCTACACGTTCCAAGGGTGCCAGGATGACCTCTGCTTTGCTTATCTCTGTCACTGGAGTCTAGCACAGGGCCTAGCATATAGTAGGTGCACAATAAACTTGTTATGTGAAAGACCAGGTGCTGTAATTCTGGCTCCTCTCTGTAACCACTGTGATGCTCCATGCAAGCCATTCCTCTTTGTGCCCCAATTTCCTCATCTCTAGGTTTAATTTAAATGTGACAATGCCTATAGGCAGCAGTCAGCATCCATAGGTACTCAGTAAACTCACTTCTCCCTTTTTCTCCTCTACCCCTCCCTAGGCTTTCCCACTCTTTCCAGCTTGGTGCCACACCCATACTTCAGAGCCATAAAACTCCACCCAATTTGGACTCTCACCCGAGCCCCTCCTGCTCAGTTCCTTTCCTCAAGTTGGGGGGCTAATGTCATGTACATCTGGCTCCAGGTGGCCTTAACCTCAGAAGGCAGGACGGGGGCCTGAGTGGACCTCGGATATAGCCAAGTCTCGGTTACCATGACGATAGCGACAATCCCCAGCCACAGGTTCCCTAAGTGACTGGTTACTCTTTAACATATCCACCCACCTTGGGTGATTAGAAGAATCAATAAGATAACCGGGTGGTGGCAGCTGGCCTCGCTCACTGCCTTCCTGGTGGACTGGCTTCTGGTGGTGCCGTTGCTGCTGGCTGTGAGCTCCGGCTCCTCCATGCCCCCGGGTGTCCAGCTGGGCTCGCTTGGCCATGGTCAGTGTGAACGTGCCCCTCGGGGCCCCAGTGGAGGGTCCTTATGGTGAGTGGGGACACAGGCCGGGGATGAGGGGGACTGGACAGGGTGGGGCCATGGTCATGTTTCGAAGGCCACAGGACACCTTCAGCGTGTTTCTGATGGGCTCAAAGACCCTCCTCCAAGGCTCCTCTAGAAGGGCTGGAAGCCAGGAGGAGGCATTTGACCCCTGTGCTAAGGTCTGCTACAAGGACAAAGCCTGTTTGGTGTGGGAAGTGCTGGGAGGGACTGCAGGAGCCCTGGGGCAATCCTTGGTTCTTTTATAAGCAAAAAGGCTTTCCTGGAAATGCAGCCCAGGATTCTTTCCAAAATTCCACAAAATTTGAGGGTCCAGATGGAGCAACCTCTTGCGGCAGGCAAACCAAGGCCTACCAGAACATGCTGGGCCTAGGTCATCTAACCAGGGCTCAGTCTAGCTGGGGTCAGGACTGGAGCAGTGAAGCCCCAGGGAGAATCAGCTTGGTCCCTCTGAACCTCCATTGGCTCTGGATAATCCAAGGAAAAAAGGTATAAAACACTGCCCAGTGAGAGGCATCGGAAACGGAATGATCTCTTGCTGGGGGTGTCCTATGACCCACTGGCAGGAAGGGCTGGAGCTCTGCCATTTTCGGGAACCCCATTCTGGAAGTAGCCCAATTGCCTCTCAGTAGAGAGAGGACAGGGAAATTTGTGGAGGAATGATATGCCATTGTTGGAGGAAAACAGGTCCATCTGTGTGCAGGTAGGGAAGAACCTCCAAGCTGCAGTAGGTGAAAACACCAAGCTGAAGACTTGTGTAGAGTTTCTGATAACAAAACGGATATAGACACATGTATGTACACATCCATTTGTATTTGCATAGAAAATTCCATGGGAGGACACAAAGAAACTGGTGACAGACAGTTTGGTTTCTGAGAGGGAGATCCAAGAGAATGTTCAATTTTCTTTTTTTGGACACATTTTGGGTTTTAAAAAAAACTAAGTGCATTTTATGAACATATTTAGATCACACACACAGAATTTGGCCTCTGGAATGCAGAACATCTCAGTTCTAGTTGTGTGATGTTAGTCATATTACTGAACAGTTCTGTGCCACCATTGCTTTCTCTGAAGTAGAGACAAAATAATGGAATCTTCTCTTATGGTCATTCTGGAAAGAGTGTAAAGCCTTAACATCACCCGCATTGTAAGAACTCTGCAAATATTACATAATAGCATCATCATCTGGGGATGGATGGCCAGTGAAGGACAGAAATCAGGGACTGATCTGATAATCTGGGGCATTGATTTTGCCCACCACGAGACAGGAGTATGTGGTACAGTGAAAATAACAGAAGCCAACAAATGAAATGAACAAGCAACCTCCCATCCATCAGCCATGTGACCTTAGGGGAGTCATTTCCTCTCTCTGAATCTATTTCCCTGTCTGTAAAATGAAGCTAATTTCACTGTGGGAGGGGAATAGAGGAGACAGCATAAAGTCTAGGTATTCCTCAGCTTACATTATAAAATTTGGTTGAATCTGTGGCCAGAGGAAGACTCACTGGCTCCCAAAGAGAAGAGCAATCAGCTTGTGGGAGGAGAGCCAGGTCATCAGCCTAGGCCAGGAGGGGTGAACAGAAGGCCCCACAGGGCCCCTCCCAAAGAGTGATGTAACTGCAACATAATCTGACAGTCTCTCGCTGTCTCCCAGGTCTGCCTACACTGGAAGTTACCTGACTATCCCCCAGTCCCCGTGCAGTGCCCACCACTTAGGCAGCTCACCACAGACCGGTCACTGGATGGATGGACAGATGGATGGACAGATGATTGGATGGTTGGATGGATGGTTGGATGGATGCTCTGTACCTATCACATCATTTAATTTTCACAATGAAATAAGATTGTTATCTCCAAGGACAGAAGAAAAAATTGAAGCTCAGGATTACTGGAAAAAAATCATCTGACATGGGATCTGACACAGGCAACTGTTGGCCCTCTTGGCCTGGCTAGAGATATGGCAGAAAGGAAGGCTCCAGTGGCCAGATTCACAGCATCTATCAGTGCAAAAAGAGCACCTTTGTCTCGGGACAGTGGGGCGACTGCTGCAGCATGTGTGTTTGTGTGTGATTGTGGCTATGTGACTCTACCGAGTTACCATCCTGGATCCACCTTTTCTTCCTTTTCTTGAGCCTTGTAGACTTGAAAGTCAGTAGCACTCTCTGAACCTCCAATGTTCATCTGTACAATGAAGAAGGAGATTCTGCTGAGAGGTTCTTTCTGCTAAAAGTGGTCTCAGGAAAAAGCAAAACCTCTCCTGGGGATAACAGTAACCGTCTGCTAAGGTTACTCCAGCAGAGTTGCTGAGTTAGAGGATGGTCCAAAGCAGATCCTCGGTAACATTGACTTCTTGTTCACATGTGGCCATACTGGGTAGACTTGATCTTCCCCTGGAGTCAGTTCTGCTTTGTAGTTCTCATCATCGCTCTGATCAGATAGTTGTCAGTGTGAATTTTGGTGATGGTCACCTCACCAGACCATAAATGTCATGAGGTCAGGGACATTGGTGGCTTCTCTGGACTTTGTTTGAAAAGATCTCATGGTGACTGGCACAGAGGAAAGGATCCCTATACATTTGTGGGATGAAAGCCTCTAGGAGAGATTTCATAAATAGACCTTCAACAGCTGTCACCAGTGTGGCCAGGCCCAGGCTCTGCCCTTTCTCTCTGCAATCTTCATTGTGTTAGCATTTGAGCCTCCAATTGACCCATCCAGGACCTAAAGTGGCTGTCTCATGTTGGCATGTAAATGTCTGGATCTGAAGTGGCAGGAGGAAGAGGAGGAGCAGGGTATAAACAAATGCAAAGTTTATTTATTTATAAACAGAAAGTATATTTCCCACAGAAGGTTAAGTGTAACATGGTTTCTTTTACATGAGGAACCCAAAGTATAAATAAAAAGCAAAATAAAAGATAGACAATAGGAAACGGCAGATAGTCTTTGTGGAAATGGGGAAGGGTTGCGATGAGGGAAAACAGGAAGGAGGGAAGGGAAGAGGAAGTAAACAGGATCCAGGTGCACTATGGAGATGCCCCAATTACCCACGATGGATGTGGTTATTATATATCACAGACCTGCACTAATTATGAAACACTTTTTCAAAAGTCAGTTTCCCCCAGACACCTCCTAAACACAGCCCTCTGGAGATTAAGGAAAGCTAGAAATCAAGTATCTAGTGGAAAGAAGTGGGAAAGCCAAGGCTGACCCAGGTGGGGGGCCGGTTCGTCCTGTGCATTGCAGGGTGTAAAGCAGCAACCCTGGCCTGCCAGTAACATCTCTCCCAATCAGTGCCAACCAAAATCCCCAGATAAGCCAGGCACACACCTGTAGTCCGAGCACTCAGGGGGCTGTGGGCTGTGGCAGGGGGATTTCTGTGAGTTTGAAGCCAGCCTGGGCTACATAGTGAGAACTTGTCTCAAAACAACAACAACAACAACTATATATATAATTTATAGCCCCAGATAGTCAAACGTTCCCCCAGGACACGTATGACTCCAGTGTGTTACATGGGAGCAAGAATAATTATTCCTAGGCACTGTCTGCTACAGTGGAATACACTATGATTTGTGTGTTATATTTATTTGGGGGCTGCCCTGACCAACCACATGGATAGCGTGCCGTGGGTGCATCTGTGTGCTAGCCTGATTCCTGATTTTTCTACCCTTGATGATTTATTTTAGTTCTTAGATAGTTTTCATTTGTATAAGCACCTCAAATCTCCTTGAAATCAAGGTCTGTATTCATCTTATTCTTTTTGCTATGTTACGGGGTTTTAAAGGTCTGGCCCCATATATTCTTTGATGGAGATTAACTGCATGGTTAAGCGAATGGGGACATGAATGAATGAATAGATGTTAGGTGGCTAGATAGGTAGGTAGATTGATGAATGAATACGATGGGTGGGTGAAAAATAGATGGACTATATGGAAAGATAAATATTGGATAGAACAAATGGATGAACAAGTAACTGGGAAGATGAGTGGGTAGATAGGTGGGTAGTTGGCTTAATAAGTAGATAGGTGGATGGGTAGATATGGAGAAAGATGGATGAATGAGCGAGCAGATGGATGGAGAGATATGTGGAGGCATGTGATAAGTGAACAAGTAGCTGGATAGATGGGCGAGTGGTTAAGGGATAGTGGGTGGGTGGATAGATGGATAGATGGATGGATAGATGAATGGATGGGATGAGATGGCTTGGAATAGCAGCACCTTCAAGTGTCCAGGACAAGACAAGTGGGGAAATAAGGTATGACTTGGCCACTGGACAGTAAGTTTCCATCAGGACAGTATCCCAGTATCTCTGATTTTGTTTTCGTTTTGTTTTTATGGTACTGGGCATTGAATTCAGGACCTTCATTCTAAGGTACATCCCCTGTTCTTTTTTATTTTTTATTTTGAGACAAGGTCTCCCTAAATTGCTAAGTTACCCAGGCTGGGCTCGCATTTGTGATCTTCCTGCCTCAGCCTCCCAGACTTCTGGGGTTACAGGCCTGCGCCACCACGCTTGGCAATCTGGCAGCATAGGAAAACTCCCCCGCCCACCAGACAGGGTCTTGTTATGTAGTTCACAGTGTGGCCTTGAACTCACTATGTAGTCCAGGCTGGCCTCAGACTCGTGGCGATCCTCCTGCTTCAGCCTCCCAAGTGCTGGGATTACAGGAGTATACAACTACACCTGGCCAAGAAGAAAACTTTCTTAAACCAAACTATTTTGGGGTTCTACTCTAGATCCAATGAATCAGAATCTCCTAGGGTGACTTTCAAACATTTTTGCTGCAGAAATTTTTAATAGATTATAATTTGTTTTCAGTTCCACATGTGATTTTGGGCACCCGGGTCAGCCGAAATATGGAAGCTATTGCCTCACTTTGTCCATTTAGTACAAGGAGGGGTAGATTCCCACAATGCTTCCTGTTTCTACCCAGAAGCCTCCTGCATCTATTAATTCACTGTTCACTTGTTCATTTCTTTAGCAAAAGTCCCCTGAGGGACACCTTGAGAACATAATGCTAAGTGAAGTAAATCAGACACGTGAGTTTAAATATTGCATGGTTTCTCTTATGAGAAATCCAAAATATAAATATAGCACAAAGTAAAAGTCAGATAAGAGGAAACAGCTATTAAGAGCTATGCTGCTGTGGGCCGGGGATTTAGCTCAGTGGTTCAGGTGCCTGCCTTGGAAGCGCAACGTCCCGAGTTCGATCCCTGGTACCAAAAAAAAAAACAAAAAAAGAAAAAAAGAGTTATGCTGCTGTAAATGTGGGTATTCATGCATCACTACAATATGTTGTCTTTGACTCTTCTGGAAAGATACTAGAAGGGGAATAGTTGGATTGGAATTTCTACTTCTAGTGTTTTGAGGTCTCTGCGTACTGTTTTCACAGTGGCTGTACTGGTTTACTTTCTTACCAACAAAGTAGAAGGGTCCCTCCTGCCCCCACAGCCGTGCCAGCATTTGTTACTATTTGATTTCTTGATGACAGCCATTCTCTCTGGAGTAAGACGGAATCTCAGTGTTGTTTTAATTTGCATTTCTTTAATGGCCAGAGGTGCTGAACATTTTTTCATACATCTATTGGCCATTTCTTAAGTGTCTATTCATTCCTGTTGCCTGTTTCTTGATTGGATCTTTTATTGGGGGGGGGTCTGGGGTTTTTTTCTAGAGTTCTTTATATATTCTAGATATTAGTCTTCTTCTTCTTCTTTTTTTTTTTTTTTGATACCGGGGATCGAACTCAGGTTCTTGCGCTTGTGCAGCAGGTGGTGAAGCCACTGAGCTAAATCCCCGACTAGGATATTAGTCTTCTGTCAGAGGAGTAGTTGGCAAAATTTTTTCTCATTCTGTTAAGAATTTCCCCTTCATTCTGTTAGCTGTTTGCTGTGCAGAAGTTTTTAATTTGATATGATCCCATGTACTGACTCTTGATGCTACTTCTTGTGCCATTGGGGTTCTGTTTAGAAAGTCCTTGCCTATGCCTATGTCTTCAAGAGTTTTACCTATTTTATCATCCAACAGATTGGGTTTTAACATTTAGAGCTTTGGTCCATTTTGATTTAGTTAGTAGGTGGTGCTAACTATGGATGCTGTTATGGATGGCCAGTTTTCCTAGCAATGTTTGTTAAAGAGGCTGTCTTTCCTTTAGAGTAGTTTTGGCCCCTTTGTCAAACATCAGATGGCTGAATGTGTCTGAAGTTGTTTCTGCATGTTCTATTCTGTTCTATTGATCCAGATGTCTGTTTTTGTGCTAGTACCATGCTGGGTTTTTTTTAATCACTGTAGCTTTGTAATATAACTTGATATCTGCGATTGTGATACCTCTTGCTTTGTTCTTGTTGCCCAGGATTGCTTTTGCTATTCTGGGACTCTTCTGGATCCATAAGAACTTTAAGATTCTTTCTTCTAGTTCTATGAGGAATGCTGTTGGTATTCTGATTGGGATTGCATTAAATCTCTATATAAGTTTTGGTAATATGGCCATCTTGACAATATTGATTCTACCTATCCAGAAACAGGGAATATCTTTCCATTTTCTGATGTTCTTTTCCATCTCTTTTTCCATTGTACTGCAGTTTTTGTTAAAGGGCTCTTTCATTTCCTTTTTTATTCCTGAGTATTCAACTTTTTTGAAGCTATTGTGAGTGATATTGTTTTCCTAATTTCTTTCTTGGTGGGTTCATTTTTAATTTATTATTATTATTATTATTATTATTTTGTTTGTATGTTTGTTTGTTGTTTGTTAGTTTTGAGACAGGGTCTCACTATGTAGTTCAGGCCAGACTTGAACTCACTATCTAGCCCAAGCTGGCCTCAAACTCCCAGCAATCCTCCTGCCTCAGCCTCCTGAGTGCTGGGATTACAGGTATGCACTACCACATCTGGCTCAGGTGGGTTCATTATTGTTGTACCAGAATGCTATTGATTTTTGTGTGTTGATTATGTATCCTGCCACTTGGCTAAATCTGTTTGCTTTAGAAGTCTTCTGGTGGAATTTTCTGGGTCTTCCATGTAAAGAATCCTATCATCTGTGAATAAGAACAGTGACTTTTTGCTTTCCTATTTGTATCCTTTTCATTTCTTTCTCTTGCCTGATTTTTCTGGCTAAAGTTTTGAGTACTATATTGAATAGTAGTTGTGATCCTTGTTGTTTTCCTGATTTTAGAGGAGAAGCGTTCAGTTTTTTTTCCCATTTAAAATGTTGTTAGCAGTGGGTGTATCATAAGTGGTTTTTATCAGATTGATATAAAGTCCTTTTATACCTGTTTTCTTCAAGGTTTTTATCATGAATGGATATTGGCCACATACTTCTGAACTGTCATCATTATTAGTACACCTGTGGAGTGTGCATCTACTGTGTGCAAGGAACAGCATTTTGCTGTATGCTGGGCATAGTTTTAGCTGTTCTGGAGCAAACAGAAATAAAAGAGGGAGAGATAACTGGCTCTAGGATGCACCTGTCTGGCTGGTAGGTCAGGACAGTGCTTATTTCCAAGCCTTCAGATGCCCCCTGATGCCCAGGGTCTATTCTCGTGTGTGCTTGTGGGTGGTGCAGGACGTGGCCTGAATAGTCAGTCCTTTGGCAGAAAAAGAAACAATGACGGGTTCAGAAATAGAGGGAACAGAGATGCCCTGGGGGGAGACCAGGATGCTGGCTCCGGCTCTGGGAGGCTGATTGTGACCTTTCTCAGTCCTTCTGCTCCCACTCCATCTCTTCCTCTAAGAAACAGAGGCCTGACAGTGACCTGGCTCAGAGGTTGTCAAATGACAGGTACCAAGGCAGCAGGAGAGATGCCTGAGGACCCCTTTTTGTGGGGAAATGGGGGGTTCACATGGTGAGGCTCTCAGTCTCCACCCACCCCACAGCATCAGATCCAATCAGAGCCACTCCATTTGGACTAAAGGAAACATTTCAGGAAAGGACTCCAAGGTTCGAAAATGTTTCAAGGACCAAAGGACCAGGCCAGTGTGCTTCAAATTGATCTTGATTCAGTCATATTTCACGCAATTTCTTGGATCCTTAGTTTGGGCAGCACTAGCTGATGTAACAAGAAAATCCCAAAGATGTGTTTAACATTATTCACTCCAGGAACCCTGGAAGTGGCCCTGGCCCAGAGAGACACTTGGCATTTCTACTCACTTCCCCTGATGAGGATTCGTCACATGGCCTCAGGTGTCTGGGATATGTGGTCCTTTGACTGACAGCTGCCTTCCAGGAGTAACTTTCACCATGTAGGGCTGGGGATTTAGCTCAGTGGCACCGTGCCTGCCTCACAAGCGCAAGGTCCTGAGTTCGATCCCTGGTACAAAAACAAAACAAAACAAACTTTCACCATGCAAAGGGGACCATGGATTATTTGGTGCATAATTGACCACCTCTGCTAATGAGTCATACACACACCCCCAAATATGTATAATGAATTTGCATATACAGTTTTATATCAAATGCTTTAATAAAAAGTGCATAGATGGGTGAAAGGCGCATAGGTAATGGGGAAAAAAATAAGAACTAAGATACATCATGTTCAGGTACAAACACCCAATAATAAATGTAAATGTATTGTATACCTAAAATGTACCAATTAATATATATAAAAAAGTGCATAGATAACATACATAGCGATGAAATAAATGTGACAGAATGCTACCAATTTGTGAATTGAGGTAAACAGATACATCATTGTTCATTATTCTCATCTTTTAACCTTTAATAGGCTTGAAACTTTTCAAAGTAAAATGCTAACAAATATGAAATTGTTAAAATTTGCTACACCCATATGTGGAACAAATTGAACTGTAAATAGAAGGATATTTAACTGACTCTTATGGGTTTTGAATTAGAACTTTAGTACAAAAGTTGGCAACTTTTTCCTGTAAAATCTAGACAGTAAATATTTTAGATTTGACAGGCCAGATGAGATCTGTGGCAACTACTTAGCTCTGCTGTTGTAGCACAACCACAGCCAGAAGCAATAAATAAATGAATGAGTGTGGCCGTTTGCCAATAAAACTTTATTTACAAAAACAAGCAGTGGGCCTTCAAAGCACACTGTTTTGTTTTCAAGCAGATATATTATTCCCAGAGTATATTTCAATAGTCTTCATTAAAAGTTATCAAATAGCAGCAGCCAGGGATTTAGCTCAGTGGTGCTGTGACTACCTCACAAATGCAAGGTCCTGAGTTTGGTCCCTGGTACCCCCCCCCAAAAAAAGTTATCAAATAGCAGTGTCTCAAGTTTCTAGGACTCCAAATCAGATAACATAGAGCACTGTAGCCTTACAGTGCAGAATGAAAAATTTTAGCATATTTGTTCTTCATACAATTAATTGACTTGTTTTCATTTCTTGAAAAAAGTACTATTACAGGTAAGTAAGGTAGAGGTCATAGGCAGGTATGGAAGAAACTGTGATAAGGACCACACACTGGAGTTAGGGACCAGACACTGAACTTGGCATCAGAAGGCACAGGTCTAGGTACTGCCTCATTCACTTCCTAGATCCTGTTTATGTTTTCACTTCTGTAGTATTTCTATGAGCCAGACACTGTTCTCAGCACTTAATTAACTAATCGAGGTAGCTGCTGTCATCTGATCACTTCCCAGGAGAGATAACAAGAGAGGTTAAATAGCTTGTCCCAAATCACACAGCCCATGAGGGGCAGAGCTAGGCCTTAAACCCAGGCTTTGTGTTAGTAAGAGAAACACTAGCTGATGTAACAAACAAACCCAAACAGTTGTCCGGGGACCCCCAACTCCTTCCTTCCTAGTGGAAGATTCATTTTATTTTAGTCCTTGCACCCCACTGCAAGAGGATGAATTCTCTTTATCACTCTGGACTCCATGTCCTCCTCCAAAAATGGGATTAATAATGCTGATTCTGCTTATCCCTCCAGATAGCTCTGCTGATGGAAAGAATGGATGCCACAGTCTTCCACAAGCACAGAGCTGCGCTAGCTGTTAAGTGTTAATGATATTCTGATGTAATGTCACAGCGAGTATTGGTTGAGACAGTGAATAGAAAGGCTCAGGTTCACAAACAATGATGGCAGCTTTGGATGACAGTAATGACAGCAATGCTGAATAGTAATGATAGTCATATGGTTCCGCAAATGAAAACAATGAATGCTGACTGATCTCCAAATCAGGATAATTAGACAAGATCATTTCTACTAGTAAGTTAATGCAATACATCTAAAACTGAAAATACCAAGAAGTAGCATATAACCGTGACACTTAAACATACAGATGAAAACACAAGGGGAAAAGCCCAGTTAAACCCCAGAGCCAGAGGAGTTTGAGAAACTCTGATTTCCCTGCCGAAGATCCTCCAGGGCTTTGTTTTCAAAAACAAAGCTGCCTACCTCGAAAGTGCAAGGTCCCAAGTTTGATCCCCGGTACCAAAAAAAAAAACCCATAAAAACCTGAGCACTTTTCTTTGTCCACACAGGCCCCAGGCTCTGATTCTTTTGTAATTTTTTTTATTTTTTATTTTTGTGAGTCAGGGTCTTGCTATGTAGTTCATCCTAGCCTGAACTCACTATGCAGCCCAGGCTAGCCTTGAACTCACAGCCAATCCTCCTGCCTCAGCCTCCAGAGTGCTGGGATTACAGGCATGCATGGCCACACCTGGCCCAGGCTCTGATTCTTGCCTGATGGTTTCTCTTGACTTTCTCCCCTTTGCTTTCTCCAGGGCTGCCACCCTGACCTTTCTGTTATCCTTCAGTCATGCTAATCACATGCCTGACTGGGTGCCTTTGTTCTCACCATGGTCCCCTTCTCCCCAGTTCTTCCCATAACCAATTTCTTCTCACACTTTGGATCTTAGCTCAGTTGTCCCCGGCTCAGAGGCCTTGTTTAATTGGCCAAATGTAAGCCCATCCCACCCCATGAACCTCTACAGCTCTGAAGTTAAGCTCTGACCATCTGTTTATCTTCTGGGTCCTCCACTCCAGTGCAGGTGCCATTAGAGCAGGGGACGTGGCTGCCTTGTTGTCTGCCGCATCCCAGCATGCCAGGCACACAGTAGTCCAATATTTGCAAACTGAGCAAATACAGATGGGGACAGTTGAGTCAGGCTGCTGAGCAGCTGGACAGGCCAGTGGTCTGGGGAGGAAGTGGCAGCCCCTGTCCAGGTCCTGCCCTGGGTAAATAGGGCTCCCTGTGCCCAGACAGCCACTGTTTGATGACTGTCTGCCATAGGACCGGCCAAACCCTGGCTGCCGCACTGCCAAGGCTTCAGGATTCCCTGGGACCAGCAGCAGAGGCAGCCACACCTCAGGAAGGGCTGGTGGAGGAACAGGTCCAAAAGTTACCCAATCAAGCGAGAAGAAGGGCGGAGGAGGCACTGAGATAGCCTAGGTAGGGCAGGTGCCCTTCCAGGAGAGAGCCCCAGATGCCTGGGGCAGCTCCCCAGTCAGACTCAGCACTAGGAGCAGAAGACCCAGGGCCTGGTCCTCGCCCTGGTCCTGACCTGCAGAGGGGTCTCAAGCACCTGCTGTCCCCTGGGCCTTAGTTTCCTCACCTATACATTGAGAGACCATGGACACACCCATGGTTTTTAAAATGAAAATAAAACCAAAAAGGCACTGGAATTCTATCTTCAGATGAAATCCAACCTAGAAGCCAGTTCACAGGAACGATGTAATGGAGGTGACTGGGTTAAGCAAGTGTCGAAGTGCAGGATGCTGCACCCTCCTGAGCCCCTCATCTGGCAGAACAGCCCCAGGTAAACCGCACCGGGCTACCTGGCATCTGGGGTTCTGCTTGGTGAGGTGAAAGAGAGCGTAGCAAGAGGAAGCATCTAGAATTTTGTAATCAAACACAGACCCAGAGCCAGGCATGGTGGTACACGCTTGTAATCCCAGCACTCTCAGAGGCTGAGGCAGGAGGATTGGGAGCTCAAGCTCAGCCTGGGAAATTGAGTGACTGTGAGACCCAGTCTCAAAATGCAAAGAGGGCTGGGGTGTAGCTGGGTGTGAGGCCCTGGGTTTAATCTGCAGTATTGCAAAACAAAAGAACAAACAAAATCACTGACCCAGGTTCAAGACCCATAATGTGATTTTGAGCAATTTTCTCTACCTTTCTGAGCCTTAGTTGCCCCCTCTTTAAATCTGACATCCTAAACAGGTGTCATCCGAGCAGGGTTAGCACAGAACCTGGTACCTAGCAAACCTTCAATAACAGAAGTGAACCATTGTTGTTGGTTATTAGCTTCAATGGAATGAGAAGCCACTGAGCCAATTATTGGTCTTTGCGGTGAACTGGAGGAATATTTAAGCACTCAGAGCCTCAATTTCCTCTTTGGCAAAACAGGATGCAGAGTTTAAAGGACCAATTTTTTTAAGTTCATAAAATTTGAAAAGATTGTTAACATTTAAAAATATCAACTTTCAGCTTCTTTAAAAAAATTGGAAGCTCTTGTCCACTGATTCTTCATACCCATGAGGCAGGGTCTGCCGGAACTAATTTAGACTGGGTGTATTTTCTCTAATTTGCCACAGTCCCTACTGTCCCTTAGTGCTCCTACACTGAAGCTCTACTAAGAAAGGTAGGGCTGGGGATTTAGCTCAGTGGCACCGTGCCTGCCTCACAAGCCCGAGGTCCTGAGTTTGATCACCGGTACCAAAATATATATATATATATATATATGTGCATTTTGCTTGTGGCATCTTTTAACAAGTGTGAAATTTGATCATACTCCCCTGTTATATACATTTTTGTTACCTCTCTGTGCATTGAGGGCCTTTGAGTTTGGGACCCTTGATTGCTAAGACCAAGGGGAAGCTTATTATTTGTAAGAGCAATCTCCTCTATTTCATAGATTTGCTACTTTTTTTTTTTTTTAGATTTGCTACTTTTTAATTTGGCTGCTACAGCATTTGAACTTCCACCTGTGGCTCACACTGTTTTTCTATCTGGCAGTGCTGCTGTAGTCTCTTGGACTACACAGCAGCAAGCAAGCTCCCTGCTAACTCTTCTGCCTCCGTTTTCCATGCCTGAAAGGATTGCTCCTAGCAGGAGCCCCTGGGCTGGTATCCCTGCCTGGGTCTGCTCCTCACCCCTCAATTATCTCTGGTGTCCCCACCCTTGTTGCCGGGTCACCTATCTCCTGGGAGGACCCAGGCTCCAGAACTCCAAACATGTCCTCTAGAATTCTCCATTGTGGGAGTCTCATTCCCAGTCCCCATCTGACAGCCATTGTGTGTTCTTTATCAGAACTCACATAAAACAATAGTCAATTTAAAACGTAATTACACAGCCATTCTTCTGTCTCCAGTCTGGAATTAACCCCAAATCCAGAG